TTTGTGATTTCGTGGCATAGGCTGCTGCGTCGTTCGTGCGTGATTTTTTCGGTAGGCCACAGAGGGGAAGAACTGGGGCACAGGGATTGGTGGAGGGGGGGGGTTGGTGGCATCTGCTTTTCTGTGTTGGGTTTAGTAGGCTAGTTGTGTGTTCATCACATGCCAGTGCTTTCCAGGGTTTGTGGTTTCATGGCATAGGCTGCTGCGTCGTCCGTGCGTGATGCTACTAGTGGGCCACACAAAGGGAGAATGGGGGCACGGGCATTGATTGATTGATTGGTTAATTGGTTCGGGTGGCGTCGGCCCCGCCTGCGAGCCCCCCCCAATCAATCAATCTATCAATCATAGAATACTATGTCTCGTTTTTTTTTCCCCCTACTTATGAGGCACTTTTATCCGAGGTTGGAAATGCACTGAGCGCACCACCAGCCATATTACTCTCCTGGCCAAACCCCGAAAGTGGCAGCACACAAGCCGGGACTTCAAAAAAACGGCTGGGAAGCGCACTAGCGGCTTAAGAGTTATTCTTCATGCCCTAGTTCACTCTCTTTGTCAGTCATTTGCATTGTTATTTGCTTCTTCCAGTGGTGACGGCTTGACTCAACGCTTGATTGTCATGGCTTTGGAAGTGATGAAGCTTATGTGGTATGGGCTTTATTGAAGTTTATTCTTATTACTATTGTTTGTATTATCATTCCATAGTGATAATCATTATTATTATGGCTAATAGCCGACTATCTACAACAAACTCCTAAAGTTAAGTTGGTCGCGGATGGAACACTGCGCGCTGATAATTTTTCTTTTCATGGACTTCTGGCATTTAGATTTCGAAACTAAGCGCCGCGATTGCCCGATAAGGAGTTTTCTAGGCAAATATGTCCGGGCCTAGGTGATGGACACATGGTTCTCTGTGGGATTAGTATTTGGTGTGCAAAGAGTGTTGCGACCGTTGATAGTGCGTTGTCGAACGGCGAGTCCTTAAGTTGCGGCGAGTGGTGTGCTGGATAGTGTCAGAGGATCGCGGTGGTGCCGTTTTTTTTCCCACATGCTGTCAGAAGACACTGCCATTTTGTTTTTCCTCTTTTCTGTCACATCTTTTCCCATATAGTCGGCCTGCCTCCGCGACTTACCAAATCCACAAAAGACAAAAAATATGCACATTTAGGTTACGAGTTGAGGAGCGAGGCCCGTTGGCGCGTTTCCTTTTCCTTGGCCACAACTAAGAGCCTGACCACCCTACTGTCCAAACGGGAAAAGCATGGGCGCACGTTCCCGCAGAGACTTGCCAGATGCACCGGTCATTCAAGCGAAGTCCCAGTAGCAGCGGGCTTGATTTCGAGCAAGCACCGGTACCTGCCATCTGATCTGAAAATCTCACGGCCCCACTGCGGCCGCATTGAAAAATACTTGAAAGGAAACTAAACCCCCGCTACTGCCAGTGGGACTTGCCCTCACGACCCATTGTGGCCACGTTGAAAAATATTTAAAACGTGGCCACACTGGGCCATGAGGGCAAGTCCCAGTAGCGAGGGTTTCGGAAAGAGAAATAGAACCAAGCAATCACAACGCAATCATAAATCACACCGCATTCACAAAGTCGCAGCGAACAAGCGCTGCCATAACCGAGTTCAAAGATAAGAGTGATAGACAAAACTCGACGCGCACCACCATCGCACTGCAACCCCAAGAACCCCCGACCCTTCCACAGACAAAAGCGCTGACTCAATTTTGGTGCAGGGCACCAAAAGGGAGTCCAACCGGCAACCGCCAGCCTTTAACCGGCGTCCCAGTCAAATCCTAAGCTACAAACACTTCACAAATCACCCCCTAGGTCCCAAACCAAACTCATAGCAGGGATAGTGAAGCCCGACGGCCCCTCCTTCCCTGCGCAAGGTCACAGGATCGAACCCAAGGTCCACTAAAAAACCTACTGGACTACACCGCCGGACCAACATATTGAAGCAAGTCGACAGGAAAGCCAGACTACATCACCTAATCCAGGTCCCATACCGGGCTGGCATGTACATAGCCAAAGATAATACCAAAAAATCAATCAAGGCAACCAGAAAATCTATGCAAAGCTACATGGTCACCTCACGTCATACATCCTATTAAAATCACGTACAAGCGAGCATTCTACTCAACATCAACCAAGATACGACCACCATGTCATGCTACCAGCAAGCCATGTCAACACTCTCCTTTTGTTAGTAGTTCAACAAGGAGTCTCCAGAATTTGCCTTTCCCCCGGGCAAAGTTTCGCAGTCCCCTGTCGAAGAAGTCCCTAGGGTAATCCCGCCCGACGGAGTTCCATCTGCCGAAGGAGCAGAGCCCCTACTAGCTCCATGTCTGTCATTGAGTTCTGGTCAATTCTGTGCAAGGCACTGACCACGACGGTCGTCTTAGCTTTCTTCGGAGTCCAGGAGCGGTAATCCTGAAAGACACGAAAAGTCAGCTCGGAGCCATTCAGCAGGTCCTTCTCGTTCTTCATCGCCTGGCAACACCCAAGAAACGAAAAACTCTCCCTCACAGTCAATCTACAACCGAGAAACTCCCATTCATTCTCACCCGCATCCGTCTTCTTTAGTGTCAAGGCATCGTCGTAGCACTCTTCGAAGGTCGAAAGGATTGTCTCCGCTCTGCGCTTGGATTTCGGCTTTTGGGAATCATAAGCCACAAACGTAGAGACATCATCCACGTAACGAATATCGACGATCGGCCTTCGATCATTGCCAATGCTAACGAGGAGATCCCACTCCGCCTTCGCACACATCAGGCAGGCGAGTGGCGGACTCGTTGCCTTCCCCATTGGTATTCCAATAACCTGCTTGAGGATCGTACCGCTGACAACGGTAAAACAAAAATCCAGCTCAAACTGCACAAACTCCAGAATCATCGCAAATTCAAAAAATTGGCAACCCTCCACCTTCGTTTTTGAGCTCATCACTACTCCCTTCCCTTGCCGCTTCACCCACACTCCCCGGAATCCTTTTCGCTCGTGCCACCAAATGCACCATTCCAGAGCGCGTGTCATCGCATCATGAGGCAGTTTGCTAAACATGTCCTTAATATCGTACGACCCTACTAACACACGCGAATACTTTCCTACCTTAGCCATCTTCCGATTAACAGACACCAGTCGAGGTCGCAGCCCACAAATTGATTTCAAGTTGAAATGCCCGCTCTCTGGCAAGGCAAACAGCATACCATTGACTGCCCGTGCTACTCTCCTACAGACACCGTTACAAGGTTCGCGGAACGTCGAGCAGATTGGCCTGTACTTCGTCGTATCCTTGTGCTTTGGTATAGTGTAAGCATTACCAAGTCTTCCCTCCGCTTACCATTTCCCAAGGTCAAAGTCCCGTCTACGAAATTCGCCATAGCATTCGCTCAGAATTGCCTCCTCCCTCCTTGCGCACACTTCGTGGCCATCACTATCCTCGAAGGTTGTCTTCATCGCCAACCCATATACAAATGGACACATAACCAGTGTATCGCCAGGGTTCCTATCCAGGGGCGCTCGCACTAGTCCATCAAGCTGTACTGCCAGTTGCCTCACCTCGGTCAGGTCACTGACATCCCGCGTATCAGATCTAGCTACGCAGCGTCGAATCTCTCCCGGTGAGAAACTGATCTTGCCGATTCCTCTGCCAACCAGCTTACATCCTCAACACCGCTAGACAATTCCTTCGCCAATCTCATCACCACTCCATCGCTGCCATCCCTGGGCACATTCTTCGCATTGCGAGCAATGATAGGACAACTAGCCAGCTCGCCTATGCGGAAATGGACGTGCCCATCCAAACGAGGGAAGGGCATATCGGCGCACGTGCACCCGAAGACTCCATCCGCGGCATATCGGTGGTGATTATGGATAATTTCGCCCATGTTCTGGCCCGTGTTCAGACAACGCGGGTGCGTCTTCGCACCATCTCCAACATAGGTCGAGTAAGCTGCAGTCTGCCCACCCCGCTCCTTACGAGCCTCACGACCTTACTCTTCCTGATCCTGTCATCAAATTCGACCTTCACTATGATCCGCCACCTAATACTCATGCCAAACCTCCTAAAAACATCGGACAACATCTTACGCGCCCTAGTACGACTCCTTTTCTCTGAGAAAAGTTTTGCAGCCCTGTAGTAGCACACCAGTTCGTCGACTGATTTTGTCGAAAGCTTCCGTTGCTTCGCCTTGTTCTTGAACATACCAATCAACTCCTGCTTCAGCTTCAACGTCCTTGGCGACGCCTCCACAATGTCACGCAGCAACAACCGCCCTTCCGTTTCCAGCAATCCTTTACACTTCCTAAGCGGTCTAGTTCATTTTCCCGTGACAATGCGGGATTCTCCGAACAATCTATGTATCACACGCCATCCGTGCGACCAAATCCGCCCGCCGTTACTGTACAGCTCAACCGTGGTCCCGTGCGACAACTTAATTTTACTGCGCAGGAGTCCCACTATCCGAACTGTAGGGGAGCAGCCTTGCGTATGAAATTCCACGCCTACCCGCTATCCCCTCGTGCTGCCGCATCCGCCTTGCAAGTCCATTGGCTCCTTCTCTCCCTCCTCCCCTTCCTTCTTCTATTCTTAGTCTTCTTCTTCGTTCCAATCGTATTTAGAGAAGGTGACCAAGTCCGAATGAATGCCTTCTCTACCGCTTCCAGCTCTGCCCTGTCCTTACTAAAATAAACTGGTATAGCCACATACTTTTCGAAACCAACTTTGCCCAGCCAGTCGTACAGGTTCCTACCGCGTCGCTTACCACGAGACTTAATACTGCAGACGAGCTTTCCCCATCCCACCATTAGCTCTCTCTCCGTCATCCCAACATATGTCTGCTTGTGCCATGGTGACACCAGCACGTACACACAGCTACTTGCTTCGCCAAGTTCCAGTCTACCTCGCTCGGCTTCGGTTCGCCAGTACTCGATAAACTTAGAACACCACTTCACTTCTCCTTGTAAAACTAGACCCAACACGAAAGTTCTCATACAACGCTCATCTTCAACATTACGACCATGCTCCCGAAGTCGCCTTTCTGCCAACCGTCCGATCCTGCACCATAGATCCTGAGGCCAACATCCTCACTCAGATGCCTCCTCGTTATCCTTATCAGCGTCGTCCTCCGTGGTGCGTGCCGTCCTGCCTGATCGTCGCAACCCCACCCTCGAGGACACCGGCAGGGCCACGTTGACTGGATCGTACGCCTTCACAACACGTCTTTTTACCAACCGGCTGATTGCTATCTCGCGCTTCCCATACACAACCCGGTCTGCCTTACACGCGTCCTTCAGTTCATCCACGGCCAACGCTTCGAACAGCTCACGACATTCGGCCTCATACTTCTCCTTATCGTCGGGCCCGGTGCCAACCGTCACGTGTTTAAGCGACAATGAGATCTTACCGACGGGTTCAAGGATGCTCGTCGAGCAACCCGCCCCGACGCCCCTATCAGCGCAGATCTTGCTGATTCGCGACTTCGCACCACATGACATACCAGTACGCTGCCCCTTCGTAGGAATAATCATCGGAGGGTTGTCGCCCACGACAGTCTCCTTGCCACGCTTCCTCTTATCGTTCAAGCTAAGACCAGCCGCTCTTCGGCGCAATCTGAGCAATTCGTCATCCTCTAATTCCTCCTCGTCGGCTTCCGCGGTCGCTATCAACCGCCTCAACCGCTCCTTCTCTTCCTTCGACGTCTCCCCTCGTTCGTTAGTTTTTATAATCTTTACGATCCTTCTCGCCGTCGATGCGCCCTCATACTTCTCTTTTTCACGGAATACCTCCTCACGCACCATACGCATCAGTCTTGCATCCCGTTCATCCTCAAACTTTCGCTTCTCCGCTAGCTCCTCCAATCGCTTCGCTTCCGCCTCCTTTCACAACGCTTCTTCCTTGCGAGCGGCTTCCTCCCTAACCTCCCTCTCCACACGCTCCTTCCTCTCCTGTGCTTTCTGTAGGAAGTACTCGCGCATCAGGCCATCGGTGTCGCTACCACCCCTCCGAAAGGTGCTGTCAGCGGACAAGCTCCTTCAATCTTGACCAGTCGCCATCGCCCGGCCACCTCGCACCTGCGGTGGGGGGACGAAAGGTATACCCCTCCGCTTAGCATCCTGGTAATCCTCACTGAAATTCCGGAAGTGATCGGGATCACCACATCTGAAGCACGTGCGCCCCGCCATCCAGTTCTCGGAACTCGACCGAGAGCCATCACCACCGCTCCTACCACCACCGCTATTACCAGCCGGTCCGATAGAGCCACTAATTCCACTGTTTCCACTCTCACGACTCATCTTGCCGCACCCCAATCCCGGGTCATCCGACAATATCACACGTACAGGTCACGTGATCCCACGAAGTTATCTCACGTAGTATCTCACGTCGTATCTCCACGCAGTATCTCCACGTAGTATCGAGCGCCGCTACCCCCTCCTGGTACAATCTCCTAGCAGGTTACAACGATTGGTCCAAGGAAAGAGAAATAGAACCAAGCAATCACAATGCAATCATAGATCATACCGCAATCACAAAGTCGCAGCGAACAAGCGCTGCCATAGCCGAGCTCAAAGATAAGAGTGATAGACAAAACTCGACGCGCACCACCATCGCACCGCAACCCCAAGAACCCCTGACCCTTCCACGGACAAAAGCGCTAACTCAATTTTGGTGCAGGGCACCAAAAGGGAGTCCAACGGGCAACCGCCAGCCTTTTAACCCGACATCCCAGTCAAATCCTAAGCTACAAACACTTCACAAATCACATCCTAGGCCCCAAACCAAACTCATAGCAGGGATAGTGAGGCCCGACGGGGGTTTAGCCTCCCTTTCAAGTATTTTTCAACGCGGCCGCAGTGGGCCGTGAGATGTTCAGATCGGATGGCAGGCACCGGTGCCTGCTCGAAATCAAGTCCAACGCCCGCTCGAAATAGAATCTAACGCCCAGAAATCGTACTAGAAGTGGGCGATGTTGTTCGCTGAGATGAGCCCCTGCGAAGGTGGCGAAGTTGAGGGAGGCGCGCCTAGGTGAGGTGCGCCGAGAAAAGACAAACCATCACCAAAGCATAAGCGTGCGATCGATCGATAGGGGGGGAGGAGAGAGAGAGAGAGAGAGAGAGAGAGAGAGAGAGAGAGAGAGAGAGAGAGAGAGAGAGAGAGAGAGAGAGAGAGAGAGAGAGA